ATTGGAGGGAGTAGTCGTCCATACGCGCGATTGTATACGTTATAATATTGTCCGCAAACACATTGTTCCGTTCATATATTATATCCATAGCCTTGTTGACAAAGCATCAATCAAAACCTATTAAAATTATTAGGTTCCAAAACACTCTCAAAGAGTGGGTTTTGTATGAACCGTCGCGTCGTCTAAAAAAATATCTTTTAATTGTGGCGTGTTTTAAGTTTTTTTTTTCTTTATTTCGTGGTCACTGTTGGTAGATAGAACTCTAGCAGTTAATAGACACTATCAGCTGACGCTTTACGCCTTTTTTTCTTCATCTTTGACTAGCAGACTACTATGGAAAAATTATTTTTATATGTATTCATAAACCGTCAGCCTTAGCGGTTAAACGGCTCAGCTCTCAATCCTTCGCCTTCGTTATGAGGGCTTTCGTTTTTAATGATTCAGCAACTCTCTCTAGTAAACCTGACCTGTAGATACCTTTACCCGATTATGCGGATATCTGATTGTGAAACAACTTACTTATGTGGTAGGTTTTCAGGCGTGCCTTATGAGTAATGGTTGAAATAAACCCGTTAAAATTTGCAATTAGTACTGGATTTAAACGCAAAGCGAGCTTTATTTATTTGTATTATTGTAGTGTATATTGTATTTGGATCATTAACAGTCGGGACCCATTATTGAAAAAAAATGATCCATTCTTGAATATCTAATGGGTACCGACTGTTAAAGTAGGTTTGTTCCTTACTTTACTGAATTATAGACAAGCACTTGTTTTTTTTCTTTTCAGTTTTTATTTGAAGTAATATTTAGATGAGATGAGTTTTTTGATATTTAAATTTACTTTTTTTGTGTCATAGTTTCTTTTAAATTCGTACCCTGTAATTTAGTAGCTAGTTATATCCTTTTATCAACATCTTATTTTGTTTTTACTATCGCGTTGGTAGTTGGCTAGCGACAGGTTGATGACCTGTTCCAATTTTTTATATGGAATGACACAAGCTCGGTATTGCCAGTGCGTTCTGTCTGCGCGCACAGATTGCAGAAATTAAGCAACTTCCGCAAAACCCGCTCACAGAATGTCCGACTGATTTTAAATACTTCATGTTTCAACAAGCTTCTGAATAGGTACATGTTTGGGTTTTACTAAGTTGCATTAGCGGTGATCAGCTTCAGCTTCAGGAATGTGTGTGACACGTATTGTATTCATAATGGGGCACAATTAAACGAATACCGGCTCTGCACTTGTGCTGAAACTCCGTGAAAAGGCGTGAATGTGAATGGTTTTCGCCGCTTCAGAGTTCGCCACTGATGTGAATTCACTGCATTATTTCATTGCATTTCACCGCACTAGCCTAAAGCCGGCATAAGAGCTATTTTTTATGTTTTCACACACTGTAATCGTTTATTAAATCACTTTTAGAAATGATAAAAGCGCAATTTTTAGTTTTGAACGCAAACGGATATATACGATTACAGATTTCAAAATCCGTTTTTAGATATCCGATTTCCGATGTGTCTAGCTTTGCCAATTCACTAGTTTGTGCTAACGGTATGGTATTATTAGCTAACGACAATCACAAACAAATGTAGAAAGAAAAGAAAGGATACTCGTAGATTTGCGCGATTTTGCTTCATGCTTTAATCTAGGCTTAAGACTTAGCAGAAAAGTTATGTTTACGGTTACGAGTAAAACTTTTCCGGCGCATTTTGAAATCGGCTTATATACAAAAATTTTTATTTGCATTTATTTTTAGTTTTTTTTTGTGCAAATATAGTCTTTAAGTACTGAGTCGTAAGACTATATTGATTGCACATATTCAATGGCAATAGATTTCCGCAAACAACAAACCGGAATCGGACTTCCCAAATTCGCGCCATCGTATCGTTTGCTCCGTTTTGTTACGATTGGTGTGTTCGTGCGTTGCCTCCACGGGTTGCCCGTGGTACGTGCGCAAATCGATTTGCATCGCGATCTCCAGTTAGACTCCATCGCGAAGTTTATGAAGGACGCCTCGAGACGTTACTTCGATAAAGCCGCGCATCATCCGAACCCCTTAGTAGTGAAAGCCATTAGTTATCACACGTCCGCCCTCCCATCTTCCAATCGTAGGTCCCTCCGATTCCGTCGGCCTAGGCATGTCTTAGAGTACCCCGACGACGAAATCAGCCGCACCAACGCGCCTCCGATTTCTCCCACACAGGCCACAAACACTAACACTACAAAGCTAGCAAATTTGCACACTAGCTTAGCATTAGGCAGACACCGCACCCGTAGGATAAGAGTGCAAAGACCCGGTCTGCACACGAAACGCTGTACCAGGTATAGGTACGTACCTGGGCGTTTTTCCCCGCCACCCACGACAACGGCTAACCAGAGCCGAGGTCCGAGTCTTAGAGACGTCCTCTAGTTGAGCCGCCAATTCTCGGGTAAAGGTACCCTTTGGATCTCGCCATCCTTAAAACCCGGTGACGCTGTGAAGGTCATCTGCGACCAACAGCATATACACTCAAAAAAAATTGTTCTTCCATTCGATTGGGGACGCTGCTTAGTTTTCATAGAAACTTTGATGATGCGATACGATAGCAAAATTCATGCTTGGACCCTGTTCATATTTTTGCACGATTATATCGATAATACATCGTGCATGCACTGTACACGTTAGATAATTTTCAACGAATTGAAAAGCGCTTTTATCTGTGTGCCTACAACATTTTTATTACCTCTATATTCGTTTACTTAAGGGTAGCAGATGTACTTTATTTGTTCAGGAAGGACACCAAACATGAAACAGATTTACACAAGTGTATAATGCGATTCAATTAAGAATAGGACCGACTGGGCACCATATTTTGACGTCATAACTGTCAATTCTATATTTACTAAGATTAAGTGAGAAAAAACATCAGATTTTTTAATATTTTTTTTACTATGATTGAGAAAAAAACAACCGATTTTTAATAATATTTCTTTATTCAGTCTGTGTGAGAAAAAACATTAATCAGAATCTAGCTCTTCAATTCCGCTCATCTCTGCATTACCGCCGGAGTAGTTATGAGTAATCATGCAGGTCACATACAAACATGCATCCTCTAAATAAACGAAAGTTTTAAATCGAGTTTCTGAACGCAACATAAAGTGACATTTGGTTGACGATTTAGGTTATCAACCATTCATAGCAAAAAAAATATCAACCAATATTAATTATTGTTTGTTTAAAGATGTTTGGTTTTTATTCTAGAATTAGCCGAGTGCTAAAAGGTGTTCCATATTTTTTTGCAAAGTAGGTACTTTTCTAGCGACATTTGAAAGATGGAGGTCATTGGCTTTCCTATAGTTTCCTATTCATATTTGAATCGCATTATATAAGCCTAAAATATCTTTTCTTTAAATTGTTTTCTTGCACCTATTGTTGTTCACAGCTAAAAGGAGTGTTTTACGATTAGTGGAGAATAAAAAGTAATATACAAAAGAGTCCAGTTATAATTTCAATTTAAATAAATATCTGGCGGTACTTATGGCGGTTATTTTCTTCAATCAAAAACTTGTGAAATTAGACTTCATAGCAGCGACTTCCTTTTCATTAATAATTGGCTTCATATACAAACTATTCTACTATAGTCCACCCCTATGGCTTTAAAACTTTATGATTCGATAAAAAGCTTTATTTGTTTATGTCTGAAGTTTCTTTTATCGAAATAACACTTTATTTCACAGTTCAATCGTGTAAAAATTCATCAAGTTCATCGCGATTTAAGCGTCAGAATGAATCAATCACACACAAAAGTAACTTTCGAATTTATAATACCTAATATTAGTAAAAGTGTAGATTGGCATTGTGTATTTAAAATTGATTCATAAGGAAAAAAAGTAGTTATTTAAGCTATGCGAATTAACTATCATTATAGCATCATTCTAAGTATTGTTGTCTAGCTAATCAAAGTAGATTATTAATGTTATTCAATACGCGTAACCAACGAGACAAACACAATGATAAAATAATTGGACTTGATTTAGCATGGACTTTGCACTCGCTGCACACGCAATGATGAGCTGATCTATCAGTTGAGTATGATCGTATGGTGTTACTGATTTTATGTGGTATCCGACCTTGGTGTGAATGGTATGTACGCCGGGTTTCAAGCTACGAAACCCTGTGGAACAAACGTTTATTTCATACTAGCTGTGCCCCGGGATGTTACCCGCGCTTTTATTAGGAATATTTTCCCGCAGTAAAACGTAGCCTATGTGTTAATCCAGGGTGTCATCTAACTCAATGCCAAATTTTATTAAAATCGCTCCAGCCGTTCAGACGTGAAGAAGGGAACAAACTTGCGCCTTTATAACATTAGTGTGATTGTCGTCTTCATTACCGACCTTTCATAGAACGTCCCAAGACACTGATTGTACTACTAATGTAAACATATGCCCCCCTAATAATAAACGAGGAATAATGCTTAGATTAGTTACGCCATGTTTTGTTCATATCACTTAAAAGCCAATTTTCATTAATTAGACTATCATGAGGTATCTTATCTAAGCGTAATTTTCGTTTATTAATAAGGAGTATGATGTGCAATAAATAATAATTGATTTGATTATCTATGTCTAGTATTTGGATGTCCTGGATTCGAATCCCGGTAGGGGCAGTTGTTTATGTGATAAATACGAGCATTTGTACTATAGTCATGGATGTTTAATATGTATTTCTATATAAATATGCTTATATATGTACTGTATATGTATTCTATCCGTTACCCTAGTATCTTACACAAGCCTGACAGTGCTTACTTTGCTAGGCTAAATGGTGTGTTGGATTTTTTTTTATTTTATATTATAAAAATCGTCAAAAAGAGGTCTAGTAACTTTTCCAATATTATTATTTCTTTTAATAATGGACTTGAATGTGTTATTAGTTTTCACACAATATGAACCGGTAACCCATTCTATATTGTGGTAAAAGGTTTCTCACTAAATTTTCGTTTACGTCCGTTCTTTACAGACTGCCCAGTCGCCGTCACATCACCTCTTCTTCTCCCCGAAGATCTTCCACATCTCCGCAGCGGATGAAGCCGGCGGGCGCACCGGCAGTGGCTGTATCTCTGAAACCATTCTCTGAGATACCTGGGCCTATCGCACTACCTATGCTGAGACACTCTGCTCATGTACTACCCAGGATAGGTAAGCGAAAGATTAGAAACGTTCATGCCAAACAAACCCATAGTAGTGTTCATGCCAACCAAACTAAACTTTCATGCCAACCATACCCATAGTAGTGTTCATGCCAACCAAACAAAACTTTCATGCCAACCAAACTAAACTTTCATGCCAACCAAACCCATAGTAGTGTTCATGCCAACCAAACTAAATTTTCATGCCAACCAAACCCATAGTATTGTTCATGTCAACCAAACTAAACTTTCATGCCAACCAAACCCATAGTAGTGTTCACGCCAACCAAACTAAACTTTCATGCCAAACAAACCCATAGTAGTGTTCATGCCAACCAAACCCATAGTAGTGTTCATGCCAACCAAACCCATAGTAGTAAGTAGTAGGATGCTAGATGATTAAATCTATTCAAAAAAACCGGCCAACTGCGAGTTCGACTCGCGCACCGAGGGGTTCCGAACAAACCTGTAGGTATATTTACCGTTTTCGCAATTTTTCCTATAACTGTGCTATAAAATGTAGCTACGTACCAAATTTTAAAATTTTGAGTTAACGGGTACGAGTACCCTGTAGGTTTTGATTCCCTTGCGAGTTTCGAAAATTGGCGGCAAAAACGACTGTATCTTTTGATTGCGTTGGCTTAGAAGTTTGATGTTTTTATCAAAAATTGGAGCTTCTAAGGGACAGTAACCTGAGTATTTGATATAAATTTCAGCTTGATACCTCCACGCGTTCCTGAGAAAAAGGGCCTTGACAGACAAATGGACGGTCAACAAAGTGACATTTCAACGAAGCGTAAACGAAAAAAAAAGGAGTATTAGGAGTAAAGACCTACTTGCTGCGAAATTTACACAAAATGCAGCGTCTAGCATTTTCAAAAGCGTTACATCATATTATTCATATAATCTGTAAAAAAATTACATGGTACATAAAAATGCTACGGAATATGCTCTAGTCTGTACCTACCAATTAAAACTGGTAAAAACAGGTTAGATACAATAAGAAAGTTATTGCTATAAGATATTTTGGCAAAAGTATAAATGGATGATAACCCAGACTTAAAAATCCTGTAAGGGTTCCGTTCTTTCCTTTCGATGTACGGAACCCTAAAAATACTTACAAAAAAAAAAGAAACACTCGGTACATTTTTCAGACGGGATGAAATTGCATGTTACAGAATTGACGCGCGGGATACGCCACTTTTGGGGCGAACGAGCAAGAGCCGCAGTTAAGTTTCAGCTCGAATTTTACGATCCAGTGTAATGTCGGCCCGAGATCGCCACGATATCGTAGCGATAAAACGGGAATGGAATCTGACGGCATAAAAATATCCTTTGTGAGGCGCACGGAAATGACGTATTAAAGGGGCTGTAAAGCACTTTTATACATACGCATTCGGGCCGGATACCTCATCATCATCATCATCAGCTTATTAATGTCCCCACTGCTGGGGCACAAGCCTTTTCTATGGATGGAATAGGCAGATTGGGCTATGATCCACCACACGGGCCCAGTGCGGATTGGCGGGTGCTAACGACTGCAGATACAGCAGGGACCAACGGCTTAACGTGCCGTCCGTAGCACGGAGGTACTCGAGATAGAAGATTTTTGGTCACCCATCCAATGACGAACCACTGCGAAAGTTGCTTAACTTCAACGATCGCAGCCGAACGCGCTAACCACCCGCGCCATCGAGCTCCTCCGGATACTTACTTTGCATAACCATTGCATCCAATGAAGTAGTTATTTTCAACACATTTGCTAAAGAAATGCATTTATGAAGGTTGTATACATTGTTCGAAAATTCAAAATTACGGGCCACTATGGCCCACACAGCGAAAAATGCGGTAATAGTAGGCGATATTGTTAGAAGGCAGAAGCTGTAATTATCAAACCGCACGTATGTCATACGACGTTCTAAAACACATTTGCGAGGAAATAATACTACCTACGTACGTACTTTCTGAAAATGAATTTGCACCTTTGTTTGTTTTCCATAAGATGAAATTTTGATACGCTTGACTGTAAGTATCTATCCGTGGATTTCTTGGGCAAGAGGCTTAGCGTAGCCTTTTTCGACTTCTGGCGGTGTCAAATTAATAAATTCGTTACTAATTGACAATATTTTCAAATAAAAACAATACAGCGAAAATAAAAAGAAATAACTTTTTCACAGATTAGCGATGCGCGCGCATCAACGCTTTTTTTAGGCAAAGGAACAAAAAACAGCCAGTGTTATTAATAAAGAAAATTAATATTTTTGTGAATTTGTCACCGATACATGTTTGTAATTTATTGTCAAAATGAATCAAATTAAAGAATTAAATGTTTATATATTATATTTTAACTCCCAAAGTTAATTTTATTTAGAAAAGGTTGGCTACCTTTATGACATAAAAACTCTTTGCTAAGATTTAAAAAAGTATCGTGCGTTTTAAGACGGAACATAATAAGCCGTGCGTTTTACTTTACATTACCGCACGTGTGTGTAATGTGATAGATTATATTGAAATTGGTGCAATAAGAGACGAGACACGGTCCCATGTACCCACGGTACATGGCACCGTGCGTATTCTTTACGTTTTTTTTAATTTCGATCGAACCTCCTCGGAAGCGCTTTTAGTCTATACCAATGTCTCACTTTTAATATTAAAAAGAAAAAGAGACGAAGATGTAGTTCCAATTATCACCACCCGCACGTGGCGCCATTTGGAAATGCGCGCCATTTTCTTATTAGAAAAAATTTGCTTCATTACTTAAATTATGAATAATGTTTTCTCGCAAATATGTTGAAAAACGTTGTATGACATTCATGCGGATTGGTATTTACAAACTCGTGACTATGGTAAGCCCTCGACTTCGTCTCAGTCTCACATTCGTCTACTCGTTTGTAATAACCAACTTACCACTAATACCATAATTAACAATTTTCAACTTTATTCTTTTTATTTCGTTTATAAAGTAGGTACGTTTTAATAAAACATGAGTGTGGATAAATTGTTTCTTAGATAACTTAACTAGAAAATGCGTAATAACTTCAAAAATATCTTAAGTCAATTACAAAGCTCCACGAAGCATATATGCAAACAGCCAGCTTTTAAAGAATATGATTGCCTTCAGCATTAAAGTAACCACATCCACAATATGTATTGTGCCACATCATCTTTAAAAATTTATATAAATATCATGGTGACCACTTCTAACTACGTTCTACGAAGTTTCTGAAGCCGTTATTTTTTATCGGAAGCCATTACGGGCGATGCCATTGATAAAAAATTACACTCACGGTCATTGATACGAAGTGGAAACCCATCGTCATTATGCTTTGTTATTACAAGTTGTGTTTGACTACTTATGTGCCTCCAAAAAGTTTTCATATTCTTTATGCAGTGCCTTGTAATGAAACTTTTCTGTAACTATAGTCATTGCGTCTTGTAATCTTATTACCGCATGCTTTTCTCAGCTTTAGATGTTCAGTTAGTTAAAGTTTCTTTTGATTTTGAGTTCTTACTAAAATACGAGTATACCCACGTGATGTGAGATTACTACACGAAATGTAAAACGTAAATTTAACCGTACACCCACAACCACAACGGAATATTTAAATTCACTCCTTCCTGCAATCTGGGGTCCTTAAAAGATAGGTGAATAAGCATTTCTGCAGGCTTACCGGTCTGCAGAAATGCGGTGAGGATGGTTGATGTGGCAGTTTATAATTTTTGCGTCAGCTATCTTCGCGTCTTGCGTTACCATCACTTAGCATCAAGTGGGATAGAGGCGTTTGCCTATCTAGCTATAAAAAAGAAGAATTAGGTACTTAAACTTTTTGTTTCCTTGCTGTCAGGTAATTTCCACCACACTGTCGGGTTGGGTCTTCTGGAAGGTCTTCGCGACCGTTACGGAGACCTGGTACGACTGGCGAAAGCGTCCAGGACCAGGCCTGTGTTGTACGTGTTCGACCCTGAGATGATGCGCGAGGTAAGTCAGTGAAGTCTTTTCAACACCATCCTTATTATTAATAAACTACCCAACTAGCATAAACTAGTTGCTTAAGAGCTTTGGAGCTAAACTGATTATTCCCAAAGGAGCCGAGTTCAAGCGCCAGAACATGCACTGCAGACTTTATGCAGTCGCTTTGCAGCCAAAGGGGCACAACTTTTTGCAACCTACAGTTCCATTAGAACTTCATAGTAGTGGCATAAAAGCGTTATAAGAGCTGCAACTAATAATTGTATTAACACCACATTAAGGGTGTATTTCGAAATATACATCAGTATACTGGCCAGTGGTAATGACGTCACGAATCCGATGCCATATCGTACTAGTATACTCCCATATTTTTACCGGGAAAATGAATATGACGTATGACCGAGCGTGCGTGAGATGCATTCGAATTTAATTTCTTTTTTATTTAAAGAACAATAATGGCATCCGAACAAAAAGAATTCCTTTTAATTGATGAGGTGAATGGGGTATAAGGGGTGCCGCCTAACACCCAACGGCACCCAAGCCAACCTCACCTGCCCGCGGTGTACCCTGCCGACCAACGGACGAGGCTCTGGCGCTCCCCACCAACCCACACTGGGCCAGCGTGGTGGGAGACGGCCCAAAACCCCCCCTAAAATGATAGTACATAATAAGAGGCCCCAAGTGCCCGGCGGTGCTGGAGTCCGTGGCGGCGCTGACGGACGCCGACTCGGCGCCAGGACCAGGGGTGCCAAGAATCCCCGGGCGGCAAAAATCCCCCGTCAAACGACCTTGGCCCTGGCAACGTACAACGCACGCACACTACGGACCGAGGAGAAGCTGCTGGAACTGGAGGAAGAATTGAGCAGGATTCGCTGGAGTATTGTAGGACTATCAGAAGTCCGAAGAGAGGGCGAGGACACGATGGTCCTTAAATCCGGCAACCTGCTCTATTTCCGGGAGGGCGAAGATCTGTCCCAGGGTGGTGTCGGGTTTGTTGTCCACAAGTCTCTCGTGAACAATGTTGTACAGATCGGTAGTGTGTCGAATAGGGTGGCGTACCTTATACTCAGAATCACCAAACGGTATTCGTTGAAGGTCATACAGGTATACGCTCCGACCTCGACGCACCCCGACGAGGAAGTGGAAGTCATGTATGAGGATATTTCTCGGGCAATGCATGCTTCCAGGACCCATTACACCGTTGTCATGGGGGACTTCAACGCAAGGCTGGGCAAACGTGGCGATGATGAGTTGAAAGTGGGGCAATTTGGAGTTGGAATCCGGAACTTCCAAGGTCAAATGCTAGCCGATTACATGGAGAAGGAGGGACTCTTTATGATGAACTCCTTCTTCAGAAAACGGCTGCATCGAAAATGGACCTGGAAAAGTCCGGATGGCGTGACAAAAAATGAGATTGACTTCATCATGTCGACTAAGACTCGGATATTCAATGATGTCTCAGTGATCAATTCGTTCAATACGGGAAGCGATCACCGAATGGTAAGAGGCACATTGAATCTAAATGTCAAAGCCGAAAGGAATTGACTGATGAAGTCCACGCTCCGTCCTGAAGCCATCCGGATCCAAAACCCCGAGCGCTTTCAACTCGAACTGCAAAATCGCTTCGATTGCCTAGAGAGCTGCGTAGACGTGGACAATTATAATGACAGGTTTGTTGAAGCTGTCCTTACGGTAGGCTCGAAGTTCTGCAAGCCCATCCGTACCAAAAAACGCAGCAAGATCTCGGAGCCGACTCTCAAGCTCATGGGGAAAAGGCGTGAGATGGGTCTGCAGTCCTCTGAAGATGCACGTCGGCAGCTCAATAGGCAGATTTCGAAGTCTCTGACTCGCGACATACGCCGCTTTAATACTGATCGTATTAAAGAGGCCATCGAGCGGAACAAAGGCTCGAAAGTGTTCGCAAGAAATCTGTCTTTTGGACAGAGTTTGCTGACGAAGCTGAAGACAGAGGACGGCAGAATTATTTCGTCGCAACCTGAGCTTATGGCTGAGATCGAAAGCTTCTACGGACAGCTATACGCGACATCACGAGTACCTGTCACAAAGGCGACCGACCCAAGAGCCAAATTAACCCGACACTACACCGAAGATATCCCGGACGTCAGCCTGTACGAGATTAGTGTAGCTCTGAAACAGCTCAAAAACAATAAGGCGCCGGGTGATGACGGAGTTACAGCAGAGCTTCTGAAAGCAGGTGGACGACCAGTCTTGAAATCTCTTCAGAAGCTATTTAACTCTGTCATACTCGAGGGCAGAACGCCTAGCGCATGGCATAGGGGAGTGGTGGCGCTTTTCTTCAAGAAAGGCGACAGGGCCCAATTGAAGAATTACAGACCCATCACGCTCCTGAGTCATGTATACAAGCTGTTTTCGAGAGTCCTCACGAATCGTCTCCCGCGTAGGTTTGACGACTTCCAGCCTCCCGAACAAGCCGGATTCCGAAAAGGGTTTAGTACCGTAGACCACATCCATACGCTGCGGCAGGTTATACAGAAGACCGAAGAGTATAACCTGCCATTATGCTTGGCGTTTGTGGACTACGAGAAACCCTTCGATTCGATCGAGACATGGGCCGTGCTTCGGTCACTCCAAAGGTGCCAAATAGACTATCGATACATCGAAGTGTTGCAGTCGTTGTATGAAAACGCCACTATGTCAGTTCGACTCCAGGACCAAAACACGAAGCCAATCCAGCTGCAGCGTGGTGTAAGACAGGGTGACGTTATATCACCGAAACTGTTTACAGCTGCGCTGGAAGACGTTTTCAAACTTTTGGACTGGAGCGGACTTGGCATCAACATAAACGGCGAGTACATGACGCACCTTCGATTTGCAGATGATATCGTAGTCATGGCTGAGACCATGGATGACCATGGCACAATGCTCGGCGACCTCAGTAGGGTGTCCCAACAAGTGGGTCTCAAAATGAACATGGACAAGACGAAAATCATGTCGAATTCCCATGTCGTACCCACTCCAGTGACTGTTGGGAGCTCTACACTGGAAGTTGTTGACCAGTACGTATACCTGGGACAAATAGTCCAACTGGGTAAGTCCAACTTCCAGAAAGAGGTTAATCGAGGAATCCAACTCGGCTGGGCAGCGTTCGGGAAGCTACGTAGCATCTTCTCGGAACATCTACCGCAGTGCCTCAAGACGAAAGTCTTCAATTCGTGCGTGTTGCCAGTGATGACATACGGAACCGAGACGTGGCCGCTTACAATGGGTCTTGTAAGAAGGCTCAAAGTCACCCAAAGGGCAATGGAGAGGGCTATGCTCGGAGTTTCTCTGCGTGATCGAATCAGAAATGAGGAGATACGCAAGAGAACTAAAGTCACCGACATAGCCCACAGAATTGCAAACCTTAAGTGGCAATGGGCAGGGCACATTGCTCGCAGGACCGATGGCCGCTGGGGCGGAAAGGTCCTCGAGTGGCGACCGCGTACCGGGAAACGCAGTGTTGGCAGGCCCCCCACAAGGTGGACCGACGATCTGGTAAAGGTCGCGGGAAGCCGCTGGATGCGGGCAGCATGGGACCGATCGTTGTGGAAATCCATGGGGGAGGCCTATGTCCAACAGTGGACGTCTTTCGGCTGATGATGATGATGATGAGGTGAATAAAAAATCTTCTTTATTCGCACTATTTTTAATATTTCGTCGATTTATGACGCCAGTGCACTGGCCACTATATTTCGGAACAATTCACCAGTATAGCATCGATTCATGACGTCATTAACACTGGCCAGTATACTGGTATATATTACGGAACTCACCCTAAAGCTCTTGTGGCGCGTATTGAATGAATGACAGGCTTAACTGAACGAATAAAAGATTACTGATCATTCACCTTGTCTCTCATTTATGAAATACATCTGTTGTTCCTGAGTCAGACATTACTGAATACAAATAACTAATAAGTGAAATGAAGGTAAGTGTTTTTAAGCTATAATTTGTATTACATATAGGCAAGTGGCTAATAACGCAGGTATACATACATACATTTGCTCCTAACACAGTGTATCACGTTAAATATTAAGTACCTATGAGATTTCTAATGACGATTTATGCAACAAATCGTATCGAAATACTTTCTGTACCTACATAGAAAGTCACTACTGACTGTTACAAATTCGTAAGTGTTATTAACACCCGACACACTTTCTAATTTACTGTCGCTCAAGCAGTTTACTTTCATAGAACATAGGTCATAATATTAGGTATTACTAATGATAAAGCAAAATGTGCTTACTTTAATTTTATTAAAATAATTAGACCAAATTGTTTATTACAATACGTGTGCAAGAAGTTATATTATTTAACTGATATTTTTGACCTATGCAGTATTATAGTCACTGGGTCAATCGCGAATAGAGTTACCATCCGTCTGGATTAGTATAGACATGTCTGTACTTTAAGACTATAGCCCGGAATTTGTTCGGATCTTTGAATAATAAAAGTACATATTGATTTAAATACCGTCGTAACTAAGTTAGTAATGGTACCATTTTGTGACTAAAAAGTCCGGACTTTTTTCTAAATGTCAGGACTTTTGAAATTCCTAAATGATAACCCTAATCGCGAGGCCCTTGTACAAAGAACTAAAAAAAATGTACGGGTTCCGTACACCTTTTATGATAAAGAGAGAGAAGAGAAAGTCTTGACATGCTTTAATACTAATAACAAACTGATAATAACGAAACCAAAATGACATGACTCTGAATAACGCGTGGTAAGAATAATGACCGATGACGAACTGATTCATAACTGACCTAAATAAATGCATATGGCGTAAAATGCTAACGCCGCGATGGGACTAATGTACGCGGTTTCTCGTAACGGGACAAATGTACGTGCTTGCTCGTTACGGAACAAATGTAAGTGCTTGCTCGTAACGGAACAAATGTACGCACTTGCTCGGAACGGGACAAATGTACGCGCTTGCTCGTAACAGGATAAATGTACGCGCTTGCTCGTAACAGGAAAAATGT